AAAAAAAAAAAAAAAAAAAAGATGGTGTTGTGGCTGACCATCCTGCTATCCATAAGTATGGCTCTCCGAGGTCCTGCCAGCTATAATCCAATCCTCCTCCTCGGGCTGCTGAGTGGGATCCCTGTGCCACTTCCCATACTAGAGCTTTGAACCATCATTTCTCCCCATTCTGACTACTGCTACTAATCATTCAAATGGCAACGTTTCAGGTCTGTTCCATTATTGCCTCACTGGCTATTATAGAACCTAAAACCCTACTTACTTAAACAGCAAGTATGAATTGTTTGTAAGTCAGATCTTTATAACTTGGGGAATGCTCGTATATAATTTAATAAAACCTCAAGCACTTCTACAAATGATAAACTACAATGGAAAACAGGTCCCAGGTGGCTGGTTTGTCTTCAAGTAATATTGCTGCTTCAAATCCAACCAGAGATGCTGTGGAGGAAAACCTTGTGATTTACTTCTGTAAAGTTTATAATCATGAAAATGCCATGTGGTAGTTCTACTCTAACACTCAGAGTGGCAGAGAGTTAGAGCCAACTTAATGGTAATGGATTTAGGTCTGATGTAAAAGAACAAATGGAAAAGAAATACAAACATTGAGGGCAGAGGAAAGAAAAGAACATATGTAAATAAAAATAACTAAAACACAAGATCTCTCATGCTAAGTTCTAAGAGATAAAGTATTAAAAGAGCACAGAAGAATTGGGGAGGTCCCACTTGATGAAGGGGTGATGATGAGTTGGAAAAAATAATCTTCCAGGTGGAAGGAAGATGAGCAGAGAGAAAGGGGTTAGAAAGTTCAGTCAGGGATCCTCAATTCCGAAAAATAAAGTCTGAAATGTTAAACATCCAAGATATATCATGGTCACTTTAAAATAAGCTTTAATACAATATGTAAAGAAAGTTATTTTGTTTTAGGCATTTAAAAATAGTTTTAGATAACATTTTCAGTATTTATTATCCAGATTCCCATTTGTTTTAGTCTAAATCCCAGGGCCTCACAAACAGATTTCCAATAACAATCAAAATGAATTCACAACACTTTACAGCTTCACTTGAAAAGACAGGCATATGTCATAACAGGCATAGAGCAATGTTAATTAATTATACAAAATATGATGTCTATGTAACTTGGGAGAGACTGAAGAGCATTATGCTGAGTGAACAAATTCAGTCTCACAAGGACAAGTACTGCATAAGACCATTATTGTAGAAATAGAGATCTAGTAAAAAATGTATGACGATCAAAGGCAGGAAGGGGTGAGAGCAGGAAGTGAGGCTGGGCAGGGGGAAAATCATATAGTTGCCCAATTTGGTAGTTGGAGGGAAAGGGGGATTAGGAAATGGGAAAGATCCAGTGGGGACCTGGAAAGATAGGGTAATGGTAGGCACAGTCAATGGTCATTATTAATCATAATGAATGAGAATGATTGTATAAAACACAATGTGAATGAAGGATAGTGTGAAATACAATGTATATGAACTTTGTAAGCAAACCAACATAAAAATTTTATAAAAATTAACATCTTTGAGG